TATGATATATCTATAGTTGAAAAAAAGAATTGGGACTTTTGAGCGAATATTATTTTTTAGAGCGCCTGCAATATGTGCTATTTTTCCAGTTTCGGCGGGCATGAAACTTGTGTCGAGCGGACCGAGCTTCAATCAATCCTAGAAAACTTCAATTGGAATTTTTAATGAACTAAAACTTATTTTAGCGATTGACTAGGTAAGGGCTTTGAAATCCCAGCTTTGAGAAAAATCGAATCTTCGAAGTAAAATCAGTGGTCGGTTCTTACAGAGACAGCCTCTTAGGACATGCTCTTTTTAGTTCTGAAGTTCATATTGCTGAAGCTAAAAGTTTAGAAAATATCGGCCATGCGACCAACTGCTACAAAAGTTCTATTACATCTTTGCAAAGCTGTTGTATTCAATTACTTCATTTATTTATAGTGATTGGGAATCTGAGCGAGAATGGCACTTGTTGAGGAAACCAGAACGATCGAGAAAATGACTAAGAACATTCGGTCAACGACTTGAGATACAAAGATCCAAAACTCTTTGTCTAGTTGATTGTCTTCCTTTTTAAGGGATCCCTTCGCGAGCTCGTTGATTCCTTCCATGATCTTGGTGAGAGTGTTGGTGGGCTTCACAACTGTCGCTGGAAGCTTACTCGGTGACAAATTGACAGGCTTGAAAGGTTTTGCTCCTACCAGCTTGATGTAGTTGCTTTCCAACTCCTCCACCTTGCATGATGAGTCAGAGAAATAAAAAGTACAAGGTCAGCAGTCGCCTCAAGTCACAGGAATAAATGGTCACCAGTAAAGTGTCTGATTTATTTATAAAATTCATTGTCGACTTTCCGATGTCCTGAAATGGCATGAACGCCCGCAAAACATCAAATGTGCAAGATGTATGTTGAAATTAACGGTCCATGGCCATACATATGGATTATTGACCAAGTGTGAGGACAAGATGGCTGGATATTGGCCGAGTTTATGGACCGAGTACGTCTCGGTCCATAAACTCCCAAAAAAAAGAACGAGGCCAATATCCAGCCATCTTGACCGAACAAGCTTGGTCAATAAAGGATACATTGTATGGCTTTCGGGGAAATTTTTCTTGCGGGATACGGAGGGTAGTCCCGAGTGGGCAAGATGGCTCCATCTTGCCCGCTCGGTTAGCCAATCACAGCGCAGGATTTGACTCATCTTGCCCGCTCACGGAGCTAGCCATACAATAAAGAGTCTTATAATTCAGGAAGAAATTTCAAATCGGCCTCGCGCTGCGCTCTAATTTGATTTTGAAATTACTCCCCCTAGCTCCAATTACAGTTACTAATATTTTACAGTCCACAGAATGAGCCTTGGTATTCAGGATTGGTGCAATTTCCTTTGTTCTTTGCGCAAGCTGCGCGTGCCATACAATTAGATCAACCTCGCACACCGTAAAATCTGCACGATTAGAGTGTTCAGGAAAAAAGCACTAATCAGGCACAATTTTTACATTAATCATCAAGACAGTTTCCAGTGAGGTCAAAAGTCAATATAAGCTTTACTGTTTCCTTAAAACACACCGCAAAAGCTACAGGCTATAGATGTAGTCTTAATTCTGGCCATTTTGCTTCTAGAACAAAGACATTGAAATGCTATTATTGCGTCCTTGCGAAGCTAAACCAGAATATTGAAAAGTTATGGTATTTTTAGGAAAGGCCTACTTCTTCTTGCACGAACACAATGTTTCTGTACTTCGTTGCTTTAAGAAACCAATGATTAATAATAATAACAATAATAATAATAATAATAATAATAATAAAATTGACCTGCCAAATGTCTTCTTACCTTGACATCTATTCGTCTTGTTGACCGCACATTGGCTTTAGGGTGCCCAGTGTCTATACACAGCATCCTAGCCAGATAATGAAGAAAAAAGACTCGGACCCACTGTGGCATCTCAGTCTTCTTGTAGCAATTCAACGAGATGCAGTTAGCGACTAAGGCCGCACCAATCTGAAACATGGCAGCCAGCAAGATCTTAACAATAATAGGTGTTGCATCTGACGTCACTGGAATGCTGTCGGAGACATTTAGGATGACAACAGACATGGCGAGGAACGATTCTATGACGAGAGTCACGCGTTCACCGAATTCTGGTGGAAACGCAAAAGTCAGAACAGAGAAAGCAGTGACAACCAGGCAAGGAATGATGATATTGAAGAGGAAAAAGCCAGGAATGCGACGCATTCGGATGTAGAAGGTGATGTCAGGATAGGGTTCAGGGCAGCAGCTGAGATAAGAAAGAAAGAAGAGAAATGAAGAAGATCTGACACCCAATCCTGAGTCACTTACTGTAAGTTCAGCTTGAAAATAGATATTGACTTTTCTTATAAAATTAGGAGTATTAAGGAGCCTCGAATTCAGCTAGAAACTTAGAACAACTCAGATTCCGGCTTTTATACTCACGCTATGTCACGCCGAGCCTCGTTCAGTGACCGTTGAGCCAGTCATCATTCTATAGCTTTGAAGTTGAAGTTTTCTAGATTTTCACCTAGACACGTAAAATCCATTTGAGGTGTAACAGCTTTCCTTCGCGCTATTTGAGCATGTAGGATACCCCAGTATCATTTAAATACATTTTACTGAACTGAAGTACGTTATTTCATTGTTCCTCAATTTAAGTGCCCCATGGCGTCCAAAGAAAAACACCTAGATGGCATTACTTGCACATGAACATGAATCCCTGCTCGCTGTCAAAGTGGAGCATTCTCGCAGACTGTAGTTCTTAATAATGAGTCACGACCCCCAGCTTGACATTAATTCAAACTTAATGAGCTATTTGAGCATAAATACAAATCTTGCAACCTTGCATCGAATAAAAGCTAGAAATCACTTTTAGTGAAAAAAATGAACTAACACTTCCTTAAGACATGCCGCAATACAAGAAAGCAGTGAAGGCTCCCGTCAAGAATTCGTCACTCAAACAAAATGTTATCCGTTAGTCAACGTACCTTCAAGTTGAGTGTAGATTTGGAAAGTCATGTCCCTGGAAAGCTGTGTGTTTGTACCGTGAATGTTCCTGTAGGTAACATTTGTTTTTACGTGCCTTGGTGTGGCGTGCATCTTCCTTGTTCACCAGTGTCTGCGACATGTTGGATATGTTGTAACTGATCCAGTCACTTCATTTGGTAGGTCCGTTCTTAAGTATGTAGATGTTACCTACTTATAACATGCCCATGGGCAACCTTTGGTTCAATTTATTGATTCAAAGAGAAACCCTAGTTAAGTCACCACGTATTGAAATTTCGTAGTCAGAGGACACGTTGTTATTTCACAAGTAGGGTATATAAATTTATTTTAGGAATCATTGAAATTAGTAGCGTGTTGAAAAAAGAAACTGCACTGGGTCAAGAAGAAGAGGTGATCTCAGATAAGACCAAAAGCAGACACAATTTTCTTAAAGGAAAAGGCAGTACATATTCTGCCAACTTTTAGATATGCTCCCCTGAGAAATGTTTCCCACATTTTCACCACTATAATCAAGATGATAAAGTCTTGGACAGTAGTCGATTCTTTTGTCTTTGCAGGTACATTTTATATGTAGACCATAATAGTTTACACAACGTATTCAAGAAACCAATGATGAATTTGCAGGAATCCCATTACAACATGATAATCTTCAACTGATTGAATTATTGATGTTTCGTTGAGAGCCAAACAAAAGCAAACCTTTTAGACACTCCTTTTTAAAGTGCACTGGACTTACATGCACATTAATTTCAGAGGACCTAGACAAGTGACGTCTAAACATTTGCTGAACCCACTATGAGACAGCCATCCTTTTAAAAATATCACGAAGTGATATCTTCATTGATTCCAGGCGCTTCAAGGTTGGTAGTCCAGTTCTAAGTAATATTTGCATGCAGAGCTACTTAGAATGGGTTGTTTTGGCTCAATCATTTGGGCGCGTTTTCACACAACAACTTGCTTTACGAACTTGCCCAGAGTTTGTTCTGATGATTGAATACGTGTTTTGTTCGTCCTGAATGTCGTTTTTAATGTTGACAGGTATATGTTGTTACGTTTATCGAGGTGTAGGCAAAATCAAAATCAAAAGTAAATTTAAAGCAACAAACTATATCTATTTCTGTGGGTACATATCAATAATTGAACTTTTTAAACCAAGTATACAAACTGAGAGATGACGTGGAGTCTTACAACACGAATCGCGAACCGAAACTTTTGAGCTTAACTCTCATATGCAGGTTAATTTTGTACGTTATGAAGACCAATAACACAGTGGAAAATGAGAGATGAACGTAGTACCTTCAATATTTTTTACCCTATTTCTATTCTCGGCTTTGATTTACAATTAACAATTTGCAATTGGAAACTGCGGAGTCTACTTAGTAGAGCGATACAGCCCCAGACAGCTGTTAAAGATGCCACAAAATTTAGATGCATTACCAAAGTTAATAAGTTTAAATTTTTATAGTTTGGGACATTAAGGATGGCAGAATATTCAGTTCCCCTAGAGTAATTTAACTGTTGTTTTGAAATGCACACTGTGCCATCCCCAGGTGGCTATAGGCGAAATTGCTTTCACATGAAGTGTCGTGTTTCAAGTAGACACAATGTTTGTCAAGTCAACATTGGGAAGGGTTTAAAAGCAAAATCGTCACTAAATGAATTTGCATATCTTTCGACTCGACAGCTTATAGACGAATTTTCGCACAAAAGCATGCGCATACGTTTTCTAATACTTTGCAATTTAAACCAAAGGGAAAAGTTTTAAAGGCAGTCATGACACCAAGAAGAAAGGAGAAAGTGGTTAAAGGTGAAACTGTGGGTTTTCTTATCATCCTATCGCCATTTCATTACTATAGATCAGTATTTGTTTAATGGTTGTTTTATTCTTCCTTGTTGAACATGCACCAACAATGTAAGTAATTTATCATTTCCCCAAAATAACGTCTTCACAAGTCAACTAAGGGACCTGTGTTTAGATACCAAAATCACATCGTTTTAATTTTGTGTCTTTTCGTTTGCTTTTGATGAGTAAAACCAACTGGGTTTTTATTATTTTCTGGCAGATCGCATCCTCCGTCTAAGTAATTTAAGGTGTTTGTGGAAAAGCTGACGAACTCATCATTCGTATTTAGAAAAAGTACATAATTAATCATTTGTTTTGGCATAGACTCCCACGAACAGGCATTACAATCACAGTTTTAAAATTGCTGAAAATTGTTTTTCTTAAGGTTGAGGAAAAATGTCTGGAATTAAGTAATTTAAACTCCATAAAATCTAAAGCTCCAGTTTTAATAATTCCCACAGTTCTCTCGCTTTACTTTAAAGCCATGAGGTCTACTCTGATTTCATTACGTTTGTTGACCCTTAATTGTACACAGCTATGTAGTAATGATGCCCTAGAGGGATGAAATCCTTTCACAATATTACACTACGTGAGGAGTAAGTTTCACAGTCGTAAGTCAGTTGTTTCTAGCTTTTATCTTTCATATTTCTAGATTTTAGCTGTTTCCAGTGGTCTTAAGTAAAACTCGCAAAACAATTTATTCTGTCAGCTCTGTTCTCACTTCATTCCGAGACAGTTTTGTCAAATATCACTGTCCCCGAGGCGTTACAAGAGTAAGTTGTAGTGATCAGGCACTTGAGCAAATATTGCGCACGAAGAACAGACAAACGCTATGGAAAATGCCAACAGGAACAGGCGATCTACCACGCGCGAAACGAAAATCCAAAAGCTACGATTTGCGATATGCTCGTCGTGGACCATTTCACAATGAGCTAGCTCTGTGAGCCCATCGGCAATCTTCGAGGTACTGTCCTGATTGGCTCGTTGCATGACTGCATGATGTGTTGGTGAAGACAAGGAATTGCCGCCTGGGGATCCAAGAGGTTTTGTCCCAGAGAGCTTTCTGGCCTCGAGAACCATCAGATCTGCTGATCGACCAGGCACTCGAATGGGCTGTCTTTCTATTCTTTCCCTTGGTTGACCCGAATTAATACACAGAATTCTGGCCAAATAGTGAAGAAACACCACTCTGACCCACTGGGGCATCTCGTACTTTTTGTAAAGATTCAGTGAGATACAGTTTGCGACTAGTGCACCTCCAATTTGGCACATGGAAATGAGCAAGAACTTAGTGAGAAGAGGGGAATTGTCCGAAGTAACAGGAACGCTGTCAGATACCATCAAAATAACGAACGACAGAGCTAAGAAGGATTCGATAACCAGAGTCACTCGTTCGCCGATCTCCGGTGGCAGAACAAATGTCAATACAGCTAAGGACGTTATAACCAGGCACGGAATGATGATATTGTAGAGGAAAAATCCCGGTTTTCGACGAAGATGAAGGGTGAATGTGACATCTGGATAGGGCTCCGGGCAGCAGCTGTATGTAATAGAACACATAATTACAAGCCAGTAGGATCCCGGTGCCATGTGCAACGTGCTTGAAGGACTGGCATGCACTGTCAAACTGACTCATATTATTAATTAACTCATGGCATCAGCTTTCAGGCTAATTTATACAAAAGGATATTACGAAACTGTTTCTGATGCATGTTAGTGCAAGTGCACGTACTTGTGCGGTCGTCATGATAACTTTACTACAGAAATTTTTGAACACTTCCCTCCGACATAAACAGTAAACGCATTTCCTACCTTGTCAATAAAAACAACGGGGAGGAAAAACATTATTGCTTTAAGTGCGATTACTAAAATAGGATATATGCAGGTCCACAGTGTTAAAAAAAAGTGGCGAGGAAAGAAATAAACGAAAATGAATTTAACATGAATCTAAATAAAAACTAATTAAAAGACGAAGAAACTTTTGAAAGCATAAAATGAAACAGAGAGTCAGCCATTTGTAGTTGTGTTCAGTGAGCTAAAATAACGGTTGTGTTTCAGCGACTTTCGTCATCGGTTGCAGTTCTCTTGTTATGCACGGTAAGTATTGAATCACGTCTTGAGATAAATCAGACTGTACGTGCGGTACATTTCGCTCTTTTATAGCATACGTCCATCAGCCTAGTTCAATTGCAACTATATAGTAATCACTATGACTTAAGTTCAGTGTAAGGAAAACACGTCCTTTTTTTATGAGGATACTTTCCTTTACAGGTTAGGGAGGATTTCTACCTTGTTTTTCCACTTCAGTTTTATGGGCAAAGTTTCTCCGCTGAATGGAGTTCTGAGCAAATTATGTGACGTTGCAAACGGATCATTTTTAGTTTTAAGAAGAATTAACACCATGCATTCAGTATTACTTTTGTCTCAATGAAGTGATCTGTGCAGGATTTTTCGACTGATAAGATGATCCTCCACCGTCAATGAAACCGTTTCTAATTCGACAGAAAATATTCTGACGTTTTTGACTGAATGGTACATTACCTGTATTTTGCCACGTTTCTCTTAGCCTTTGCCGAGATGAGTTCAAATTCTGAGCTCTTCATGTAGAAACCAAGGTCTGCCGAGTCTCGCATTTGCACGATGTTTACTTCCAGCCCGTGGTAAGTCCAGGAACCGAACTTGAGTTCACACATTTGGTCGTCAAACGGGAAGTACGTAATGTCGATATTACAACCGCTTCGAAGGATAGTGGGCGCGAACCAGGTGCATCCTCCATCAGAAGTCAAGATGACTTTGGTTTTGAACAGATATAGAGTTCCACTTGGAAGCAACTCCTCCGCACTGACGAAAAACGATCCACAAATAAACATTCTCAGAGACGCACGTCACGAGTATTTTTTTTTTTTTTTTTTTTTGTCTTACAGAAAAAACCTAGAGGAACTCTTAGCATGAAAAGAATTTCAAGAAAATCCTCGAAACATAAAGGATTGTTAAAACGAGTTCAGCGACAAATGTTAAAGGAGCAAAGAAGCGGCCTCTTTGAGAANGTTATAAGAAACACACACTTTAGTCGGCTTGCTTTAGTATATGATTTTTTTTGTTTTTTGTTTTTTTTTTACTGTAAATTTTGCTATAGGGCTCATGGCTTGTAGCAATAGAATTTACATAATTTCTGGGTCTATCTGTTTTGGGGGGGGGGGGAGGTTGTCAGAGAAAATATGCCGAAGAAAACCGGCATTTTATGTTCTCCTCCTGGAGAAATTTTGTAGCTTGCTCATTACGGTGCCCCAGGCCATTTGATAATTGGCTAAAACAACAAAGAGGAAAGCGGTAAGATGATTGGGAATTAAGCTAATTACTCAAGCAATCTTTTCCCTTTGCCCTAGCAGTTTGCGAGTGCCCATTTATAGTCTTGGGTTGAAATGTCACAATTTGGTTGCTGTATGGCCCGATATAAGAAAGAGAATATATACTAACCAGGTTCTTTTAATAATTAATCCAAATAACCCACGCACCAATAATTAGGACGCCATATAAGTAATTTTTTTTTTCTCTCCGTGTTTCTATCAATTTATAACAACACGAGTAATACATAACACGCTGAGAGCAGGATCACCTCTCTCTTTTCTAGAAAGATCGAAGCGACTCTGCTCCTAGGGTACACGAGTCAAAGTTCGGGGAACTGAAAAGCTGTTGTGGGAATACGAGAAAATCTTTTCTATTTCTTTTAGATAACAACGCGAGACAAAGAAACGAAAATGACTCGTTTAGTGGTGTTAGGAGTTCTCAAGTGGAGTGGGCAAAAACGAATTATTTCTGATTCCTGTTATGTACTTACTTGTTGTGAAGAACAATGTCAGGAAGCCAGACTAATTTGGGGCTGACGTTAATTGTTTTTATTCCGCCATACTCAGACGCATTCCACTTCAGGAGATGATTGTTCCAGTTCTAGTCAAAGTAGAAAGCATTGCAAGAAAATAAAAACGTTCGACTTGCCAGACTCTGGATTTAAACCCTTTTTGCTGTACAGCATGAAAGGAGGCAAAGATGCTGCAAAAAATCATCTATTCACTAGGCTAAGATCCCCGTTTTGTGAAATTTTTTCTCTGCAATTTTTTTCTGGTTGAAACACATGATGTAAGGGGATACATTTTGACCTCGAATTTCCTAGAGCTGAATCAGGTCAACCAGGCCATGTGTATAGGCTTTGATAGGGTTGTGCTAGCAAAAGTAGCATATTAGCAGTGCTCGTATATTTCTAAAATTATGCGGGTAATGATTATGGTAGTTTTGTAAATTACACTCATTTTGGCAAAAAATGAAGAAATTATATTTCTACTTTTTACTATAATTTGCTAAGAACACTTCATAACTATGCAACAAACAAGAAAATGGCAAATACATGTACCTCACTGTATGCACTCGTTGTATCCACTCGCTGTCGCGGACGCCATCTTGGTTACCCGAGCTCTAAGTTATGCGCATGCGTTGAGTCTATGGAAAGAGTCCTGGGTCAATTCCTGTGGGACCCAGGTCCCATGAATGTGACAATAAGCAGACAAAAAATTGATTTTGTTACTTAGATTTGCCTGTAACACTGATCTCGGGTCAAAACAATTGGTTGCATGATCAATAGATGATGATTTTGTGCTGCAAAGCTGGCCAAAAGTGCAAATTATGCCAGCAGTGCTTTTTTGCTTCGGAAAATCGATGCTACATTATGCTAACACAATCTATCAAAGCCTAAATGTATATATGACGTATATTTTTGAAAATAGAAATTTTGAAGATATATAAAAAAAAAAAACGTGAAAAATGTCAGCGATGTTGAAAACTAAGTCAATTGAATTATATGTTTTGTTCAGGAATTCGTATTATGCCTATCTCACTTACCATTCTCACCCAAATATTGCTCACAAGAACTTGATCTTTTTCAATCTGTTATAGCAAGTAATAAACATTAGATGACAAACCAACCTCAAAATAGTCTCTAGATAAGATCTATGTAAGTATAGGCACTTCTTGACTCCCATCTTCTGATTCCATTTCCCACTCGACCACGATGAACTCTGGTGACGTGTTAAAACCGTTTACACTGGTAACTAAGCAATAGCTTAAAATGATTGACAGGATTTGTACTCGACTCATTTGTCAGCTTTGCCTACTGACTAAGGCGTATAACTCTGCCAATGCACGTCAACTGTGCAATAAATTTACAGGCTTTTAAACTGGTAGTCAATCGCATTCGAGATCGAACTTTGACAGAGTGATCGGCACCCAACTTTCACTAACAAAATCTCTCTTTTGTACAGGTAGATACGTAATTAAGAATGATTAGGAGCCGGGATAACTTATTAATCTTAATTTTAAATGTCTTCAGTCCTAAAAAGGTTTATGTCAATAAATTGTTTACCAAGTCAACAATCTGTGTGTAAGCAATTCCAAATTTGACTTCAATCGGCAAATCTTTATCCTGTGCGGGACGAACATTTTTGTTGTAACCGCTGAATAGATCTCGCACCAGTCTCGCTTCGTCGTCATCTTCTTCTAAACCAGAATGATGAAAAGTTGGAGTTAAGCTACAAAATCGTGATATCTCAACTCTATTTAGACCGCGCTATTTCTTATCTTCTGCGATCGGGACAGGTTTTCACAACCCCTCCTAACCTTCGAAAGCAATGATTTGGTTTTTGTTTTGTTTTTTCAAGAGCAATAATAATATAAACAGGATTAGAGGGTCCATGGTGCGCCCCCGGTGTAAATATGGTTAAGAACGAAAATAGCTTACATCCGTCCCTAACTGTTAAAACAAAACTAAAGGTTACTGATAAATGATCAAAAGCACAGGAAATCGACAGCAGTTAGAGGAGTAGCTGATTAACTTTGATATGGGGACATCGTAGTCACTTTGAAAAGGCTGCCTCTTTCAACTCATGGGACAATTGTATACTTCTATGACACTGTAACATGACGTGGTCAAGGTAAAGATTAGGTTGAAGTTTTACTTTATTCTAGTGCTAGTTTTCTAATATTCGCCTAACTTTAAGTTACGGATTGAAGGTTTGTTGATTTTGCCACTACTTATCGTTGTCATTTTGAGGGGATTTATATACACTACCATTTAGCGCCCCCTGTGATAGACCTTGGCCTGTTTTGAAAAGAAAAGAATCCTGAATTTCTGACTAAAAAGAAGATAGCAACAGTTACGATTACTTCCATGGTACCAATGACTGTGTCAGCCACTTACCACTACTGTCAGCGGAGAATTTGTGCACACTTGCATTTGACGCTTCTCCCTGCGACAGAGATTCGTATTCGCTGCCATTTAAGACTGCATGAGATAATCCGATTCCTGTCATGTAAGATAAAATTGTGTTACTAGATTGAACTCCACCCTATATGTAGTTTGGGATCGGCTTTATGATAAGGGCTGTGTGGTTCGTGAACTTAAATTGGTAGAAAAAGAATCGTGTTGGCTTTACGCTGTATCTACCGTTTCACGTTGTCTGAAGTAGGACTTGGTAAGAAGGCTGCATTTTAAATGCTAATAAAAAAATAAAGTTGCTAAAATTAAATTCTTTCTTTCCTATTAAATACGTGAGTGGCTCTTATGATGCTGAGTCCTAGAAAGGACTTTGTCAGTTGAAAGATCGGGGCAATTTGACATTTGTCATTTAACAGTTTGACTGGGCGTTTTCTCACATGACAGTTGCTTCCATACGCACTATTTGTGAGCTATGTTTAGCTCTTATTAGCCAAGCAGGAGGTCTGTATGGGAGAATCTTGACCGAGGTCATAAGTACAGACCGAACGCAGTGAGGTCTGTCCAGACGACTGAGGTCAAGATTTTCCCATACAGACCGGTTAATAAGATGTTTATTACATACCCCGAAACGGTATAATCTGAGGAACGCTGAGTTTAATATTCCACGTTTTCGCACCGTGCATTATGGAAAACATTCTTTACGATATTTTGGACCCCATCTTTGGAACAAATTAGACAAAACTGATAGAGAGAAGCCTATAATGTTAAGAGTTTTAAAAGCAGTATTAAGAGAGCTATCACACTTAATAGATAATCGTAAGAACTCAGGATATATACTGTTAGGCCGCTTTAAATTTTACATTTTATATATATTTGATATCTTTTAAGCTTTTTCAATCTTACTAAGTTCATATATTTTATTTATTTATTTATTTATTCATT